CATACACACTTCCGTGAAACCACACAGCCTCGGTCAGCCTTTCCTCAAACCACCCGGCCTCCTGAAACCACACAGCCTTTCCTGAAACCGTCCAGTCTTTCCTGAAACCACCAATCACTCTTTCATGAACCTCCCCAGCCTTTCCTGCAACCACAGACCTCTAAACCAACCCTAAACCGACCCTAAACCAACCCCCTAAACCAACCCTAAACCGACCCTAAACCAACCCTAAACCAACCCTAAACCGACCCTAAACCAACCCTAAACCAACCCTAAACCAACCCTAAACCAACCCTAAAACCAACCCTAAACCACCCCTAAGCCGACCCTAAACCGACCCTAAACCGACCCTAAACCGACCCTAAACCAATCCTAAACCAGCCCAAACCGACCCTCAAACAACGCTAAAACCACCGTAAAACAACCCTAAACGGACCCTGAACCGACCCTAAACCACTAAACCAACCCTAAACCGACCCCAAACAAACCCTAAACCAACCCTAAACCAACCCTAAACCAACCCTAAACCAACCCTAAACCAACCCTAAACCAACCCTAAACCTAAACCCTAAACCAATCCTAAACCAACCCTAAACCAACCCTAAACCAACCCTAAACCAACCCTAAACCAACCCTAAACCGACCCTAAACCGACCCTAAACCGACCCTAAACCAACCCTAAACCAATCCAAAACCAACCCAAACCAACCCTCAAACAACCCTAAAACCACCCTAAACCGACCCTAAACCGAACGTAAACCAACCCTAAACCAACAACCTCTAAAACAACCTAAACCAAACCTAAAACATCCTAAAACCAAACCTAAAACCATACCTAAATCAACCCTTAACCATCAGACTTCCAACATCATATGCGACACACACTTTCGTGAAACCCCACAGCCTCGCCGGAAACCACGCGACACCTCCTGAAACCACGCAGCCTTTCCTGAAACCACGCAGCTTTTCCTGAAACCACGCAGCTTTTCCTGGAACCACCCCAGACTTTCCTGACACCACCAAACCTCTCCTGAAACCACTTCCTGAAACAACCACCCAGCCTGAAGCCACACAGCCTCTGCTGAAACCACCTAGTCTTTCCTGAAGCCACCCGGCACCTCCTTTCCTGAATCCATACACACTTCCGTGAAACCACACAGCCTCGCTCAGCCTTTTCTGAAACCACCCAGCACCTCCTGAAACCACACAGCCTTTCCTGAAACCGTCCAGTCTTTCCTGAAACCACCAATCACTCTTTCATGAACCGCCCCAGCCTTTCCTGAACCCTAAACCAAACCTAAACCAAACCTAAAACATCCTAAAACCAAACCTAAACCAAACCTAAAACCACACCTAAATCAACCCTAAGGGAGCCTTAAACAAACCCTAAACCTCACCTAAATCAACCCTTAACCATCAGACTTCCAACATCATATGCGACACACACTTTCGTGAAACCCCACAGCCTGCCGGAAACCACACGACACCTCCTGAAACCACGCAGCCTTTCCTGAAACCACGCAGCTTTCCTGAAACCACGCAGCTTTTCCTGGAACCACCCCAGACTTTCCTGACACCACCAAACCTCTCCTGAAACCACTTCTTGAAACAACCACCCAGCCTGAAGCCACACAGCCTCTCCCGAAACCACCTAGTCTTTCCTGAAACCACCCGGCACCTCCTTTCCTAAATTCATACACACTTCCGTGAAACCACACAGCCTCGCTCAGCCTTTTCTGAAACCACCCAGCACCTCCTGAAACCACACAGCCTTTCCTGAAACCGTCCAGTCTTTCCTGAAACCACCAATCACTCTTTCATGAACCTCCCCAGCCTTTCCTGCAGCCACAGACCTCTCCTCTAAACCAACCCTAAACCGACCCTAAACCAACCCTAAACCGACCCTAAACCAACCCTAAAACCCTAAACCGACCCTAAACCAACCCTAAACCAACCCTAAACCAACCCCCAAAAACCGACCCTAAACCGACCCTAAACCGACCCTAAACCGACCCTAAACCGACCCTAAACCAACCCTAAACCAACCCTAAACCAACCCTAAACCAACCCTAAACCAACCCTAAACCGACCCTAAACCGACCCTAAACCAACCCTAAACCAACCCTAAACCAACCCCAACCTCTAAACCAATCCTAACCAACCCTAAACTGGCCCTAAACCTGATCTAAACCAACCCTAAACCAAACCTAAAACATCCTAAAACCAAACCTAAAACCACACCTAAATCAACCCTGAGGGAGCCCTAAACAAACCCTAAACCCCACCTAAAGCAACCCTAAACCATCCTCTTTCGTGAAACCACACAGCCTCGCCGGAAACCACACGGTCTTTCCTGAAACCACACGGCACCTCCTGAAACCACCCAGCCTTTCCTTGAAACCACCCAGCCGTTCCTGAAATCGCACAGCCTCCCCTGAAACCAGCACCCAGTCTTTCCTGCAACTACACAGCCCTCCCGGAAACCACGCAGCCTTTCCTGGAGCCACCCCAGACTTTCCTGACACCACCACACCTTTCCTGAAACCACCACCCAGTCTTTCATGAAACACATAGCCTTTCCTGAAACCACCCAGGCTTTCCTGAAACAACCCGGCACCTCCTGAAACCACCCAGCCTTTCCTGAGCCGACCCAGGACCCGACCAACTCCCTCTATCACACACACTTTTCGTGCCTTTCCTGAAACCGCCCAGTCTTTCCTGAAACCAGCACCCAGCCGAAAACCATCCAAGCTTTCCTGAAACCGCCCAGCCTTTCCTGCAACCACACAGCCTTCCCCACGTAGCCTTTCCTGGAACCACCCCAGACCTTCCTGACACCACCAAACCTTTCCTGAAACACCGCCCAGTCTTTCATGCAACACACAGCCTTTCCTGAAACCACCCGGGCTTTCCTGGAACAACCCGGCATCTCCTGAAACCACCGAGCCTTTCCTTTCGTGAAACGACTGCCAGCCAGGTCTCGATTCCACCGAAACACGGTACCTGATCCGAGGTAGCTGACCCAGGTACCTGATTCAAGCCTTGGGGTATCTGACTCGACCAACTCCCGTGTCCCATGCTTGTTCACATTTCTCCTGAGCCATAAGAAAGCCAAAAGTATATCCCGAGTCCAAAGCAACTTCTTCAAAAAAGAAGCATTTCTCTGGTCGGTTCCATATTAGTGAAGGGTATGTCTTAGAGCGTCTTAGACCGTCACAAGGCCCCAGTTGGCGCGGCCTCTTGGGTCTCCTTTGCCAAGCTGCTGCTCGTTGGTGACGCTCAGGTGCTTCGACGCGAGCTCGCGGCGCTGCTTCGCAAGCTCTGCCTTGTGCCTGGCGCGGGGAGGGCGGGGGTTCCATTGAGAAGGAAGCGCCCGCCCGATTCCATGGAACCCAGGAAAGGGAACCAACCGCAGGCAAGCTTAGACGAGCTTAGAGTACCATTATAAAGACCTTTCAACAGAACTAACTGAGCAGAGTCAGGCATCTTTGAATTTTGGATTCCCTCCGAATTCCACCTTTGCCCACCTCGGCCCTTGAATCAGAAGCTGCAATGGCGCAAAATGCTTTGAGTTTGACTTGGGAGTTCCGCACGTGCGGTAAGGCTGACTGCACTTAACCACTTGCCCCCCTCCCCCCATCGCCGAGTCTGCCACCGTCCTCAAACTGAAGCAGCCAACCACACAGCAGCCTCCAATCTCGACCCAAAGCGGCAAACAGGGACCCTAAGCATTTCAGCTAACCCGGAAGGAGCTTGGGATACGCGAATGCCAACAGTACAGCCATGGCATGCAAAAGCGCTGTTTAAATAAGCAAAGGCAGCCTTTCACAGCTTTGCGCAGCTGCGCTTCAGCAGCAAACCACTTTAGCCGGCAGCATGATTCATGGTTCATATAAATCGATTGTTGCCCTTGCCTGCGCTTCTCGACAAACTTCTCAGCCAAGTGCGGCCTGAAAGAGCAAGGAAGTGGTGTTACAAGACCCATGCGCTCATCGCTACATCAGAAAAGCAGTGCCTGCTCGTTGCTTCTAGTAAGCCAGTATGGAATAAACCAAAAGTTTCAGCTCCTCACAACTGTGGCACCTCATGAAACGTTGCATCACTATGACAATTATCAATCACCAAAATCAACACTTGAACCGCTACGTGAAACGTAGTGTTTAGGGGGTTGCCAAGACACCAGCGCTGTTGTTGAGCAAAGGAAAAGTGGCACAGATGTGGGCCAATATTGCGCAATGGCTGAGTCGAAGCAACCACCCGCGTTACCGGAATGAAGCCAAGATTCAGGGTGCGCTAACCCACTAATCAGGTTCATACCAGCGGCTTCACACATGGCCCTAGTCACACACCAGAAGCTCAAATGCCATCCTAAAGTTCCATGAATCCAACGGGACTGGGCCGTAGTGATTTATCTCCTTGCGTGGACTGCTGGCTCCCCAAAACATACATCCAACACTATCCTCGTCAGAATCTCGAAAACGACATCCACGTCATGAAAGTTCAGAACTGACAACAAACCCAAGATAGTGTGTATACTGTATCTACATATATACTAGGAAGCGCAAGTTGAGCATGTGGTACTTGCTTGAACCTTCGCTTTTCAGCCTAACACTTCCCCAACGCAACTGGCCCTGGCCCCTGAGCCACGGTCAGAATTGCTGGTTTCCAACAAGAGGACATGGCAAAATGAGGGTGTGTCCTGTGGCTCTAGTTGAAACTCTGTAACTTCTTTTGTATCACATGAACCTAGACTGGAACTTTCGGGCAGCCAGGTTTTCGCTCACCTTTCTAAGACTTTCTTTGGGCTTCTTGAGAACCTGCGGGTTGGATGGGACGGGGGAGCCTCAGGTTTCCTGGCCCCGAGCCCTGGGGTGTCCCGGCAGCTCGGAGGCCCTGAAGCGGCGGATGGCCGGGGAGTAGGTGTGGAAGTGATCCGCGGTGACGTGCTCCAGGACCTGGCGGGTTTTTTGGGGCAGTGGTGGTGGCAGCAGGAGGAGGAG